TTTCACCGGTATCTTAAAAGTACAGCTCCCTGGCGGGGTTGAACAGGCTGATCACGGAAGCGGTACCTTTCCCAGATGTCGCTGTCTGATTGTTCCCTTTAAATCTGCCAGGCACTTGTGCCTGGGTCGGATCTAAAGACCCGTCTGGTTGGGACCTTAGACTAGGATCTGTGAGACTCAGGTTTGAACACCCACTTTGGCATGGAAAGTTTATGGTGCTTTCACACACACTAAATGATGCACTTTCAATGCACTTTGCAACTGGATTTTACTGCAGGAAATGGCAAAATCCACTTGCAAAATGGTCACTGAAGTGGATTGAAACTGCATTATTTAGCATGTGTGAAAGCACCATAAGCCTCAGCCTAGCATACCTCACAGAGCTATTGTGGGGATAAAAGGGAGGAAGAAAAAACACTGTTTTGGGTCCCCCACTGAGAATAAAGGTAAAGGTGCCCTTGCTCGAAAGCCAGTCGAATCCAACTCTAGGGTGCGGTGCTCATCTCTGTTTCAAAGCCGAAGAGCCAGCGCTGTCCGAAGACGTTTCCGTGGTCATGTGGCCGGCATGACTAAACACCAAGGCGCACGGAACGCTGTTACTGAGAATAGTGGGCTATAAATGAAGTAAAGATCTTCCAGCGCCCCCTCTGCCTTCATCCTGAATTGTCCCAAGCTTTTCATCACATAATACAGGCCCAAAGGATGAAGGCCAGCCCTGTTTCATTCAACAGAAAAGGCATTTTATTTTCCAACCAACGCATTGCAGTTCTCGCATGGCCCTAGCAGCACTTTGCAGCCTCGCCGGCACTGTTTCCTCACCCCTGCTGGGGCCTGAGAATAAGCCAATTTAAACGTAGCTAAGTCCATGTACAAATACGTAGCAACTGGTAGTCAAAGGGGACTGGGCAGCGTCATGTGTGGCCGCATCACAGTAGTGGCCTGAGTTCCCCAGCATTGAAAGTCACGGCTCGGCTTCCTCGTGGTGGGGGGTCCCTCAGCTCTTGCCGGCGCTTAACCCAGCCGTTTCCCGCCCTGACTCGCCTCGCCGCCTCCCCTTCACCAGGCCGCTTAACGGGCTCGCGTTCAAGACCTCCATCCCTCGCAGCAGCGAGAGGCCGCGCGGTGCAGGGCTACGATGGCCGTGCCGGCGGCCGTCTCCCGCGCTCCTCCTCCTCCTCTTCCTCCCCGGTCCCGGGGCCCAGCGGAGGCTCCTCCTCCCTCCGGTGTGACTGGCCCAGAGCCGCATGTGAGGCGAGACAGAAGGCGGGAGGGACGAGACTCGAGCCAGCCAACAGCGGCCCCCAGCGCGGCGGCGGCAGAAGAAAGAAGTGGCAGCGGCTCCATCGCTTCTCTCCGGCGGCCGCCGCGCCTCAGAGCCTACCGCTTCCTCCCCCCCAGTCCCTCATGACGGTTTGGTGCTGCCGGTGCTCCTTGGCCAGTCACTTCAGGTACCCTCCCTTCGGCCGGCCGCGGAAAATGGGTTTATGGGTCAAGAAAAGCTGCTAGCGGCGGCGGCGGCGGCAGCCTCCATCCTTTCCCTTCCGGCTCCTCCCCTCCGCGCCTCCTGCCGCGGGAGTTGCCGCGGAGAAGATGGGGGCATCCGGCGCTCCAGGCCGGCATCGCGCTCTGAAGGGAAGACGCGGCGCAGGAAACTCGCCGGTGCGGGTGGCTCCGGT